TTAAATGTAACTTCTCTCATTACATTTCTGTCCTGTAATTCAGAACTTCTATTAATTCTGCCATAACTATCCTGATAGAATTTGTATGTTCATCTGAATCATCTCCAATAACTATCCTTTCCTTAGTAGGTATATGCTGTAATTCCTCTTTTCCTTCCTTAAATCTACTTATTAAACTATATTCTAATTCAACCTAAGGAGCATAAACATAAATAAATAAAAAAATTTAACAAGCTTAAGCTTTGACTGCATTCATGAATTTTTGCTTTAAGTGCCTCAATAGAAATCACCCTATAATCGTTGAACTATTTATCTGCCACTAACACAACATCATTTCTTTTGTTAGTTATTCCAAGATACCATAAATTATAACATTTCCCAATATCCTTAGATTATTTTCCTTTTCATTTTTATTTGAAAAAGTAATGCTAATTCCTTTAATTATAATGGTCAACAATTCTCATATTTTTCATTCAATTTTTCTAGATTTCACGTAGCAAATCTAATCTTATATTTAAACCTTGTCAAAATTTTTATTGCGATTGAGCTAACCTTGTTGCATTATGGCGATGTCTTGGCCTACCTTTGTTTACTTTTTCACCACTGCCGAGTTAACTGTTAGTGAGTATATAGCCAAATTTAGCTTAGTTTAGATTAGATAAAATGTTGCGGATTGATTTCTAGGTTGGGTTAGACTTGATTATTAACAACCTTAAATGTATATTCACACACACAAAGAACTAATAATTCTCTTTTCAAAACTTTTTTGAAATTTTATCAAACTTTTAGTAAATAGTTAATTTTTTTTTTGCATTAAATAAAAATCATTTATCATCTATATACTAATTTTAACTCCATTAATTTTCATTCTTATAAAAGTTCTTGTTCAAACTATTCATTAAATCCAACCTCACACAGTCATGCGTTGTTTGTCAACACCTCAACGACCATATCTATTGATTTTGTTCTAATGCTTTTAATGATATGATAAATTATAAAAACAATTTTTTTCCAAGTAATAATGCCGTTCTCTTGTGAAGTGCTATTTAAAAAGCATAATTTTAAATTTACCTGAGCAACTTTAATGAAAATTATTGCCAACACGCCCAACATTATTGATTTGGATAGAATATTATATTTTTGTCATCATTTAACCATCTTTTTATTGTTATTTTTTGTACAACTTGAGTCAACAATGTAATTATTCCTTATCATTTTAAAAATTATGCATCGCAAAGGTTTCCTATACACCTAAACTTCATTTTTTAGACGTTTTTCACCTTATATATGCATCAAAATGTGTATTGCACTTTTTAATA